ATATATATATATATATATATATTAATAAACAGGTTATTGGGTGTGAGAGAATATGAGAAAATAAACATTATTAAGGAGAGAGGACAGTAATTAATACGACAGGAGATGACGATTGACATTGCATTTAAATTTTTAGAGAGTCATATATATATATATATATATATATATATATATATATATATATATATATATATATATATATATATATATATATGATTTGATGCGCCAGAACAAAAGATGTTATTAATCTATTTTTATTGCTCTTAGAAATTGAAGCATTGATTCTACTAAATCTTTAAACGTTTTCTCTTTGATCTGCTGCCAGAGAATGTTAACAGGTCATTTAAACGTTGCACGCTAAGTTGTTGTGATTTTACACAACAAATTTGTTTGTACAGCACGTCCCTCTAAAGGCTTTGGCAATACCATGAAATCTTGTTCATTTTTCTGAAGCCATTTCTTCACAACTTGTGTAGTTTATCTGCTGAATTCGGTTACAGCCATCTTCGTAGGAAACTGTTGCCATAAAGAAGTGTATCTGATTTTCCCAGACGTTCAATTTGATTGTACGCGAAAAATTACCTTCCACATTTTTCCATGCATAATGTTTCCTCAGAACATCATACTGCTTGCATCTGTTTGTTATTTTATGACACTGCATTCTGGTGTCTGCACATCGTCAGGTTAATGATGCACGCGTAGATGTGAATTTAATATATTCACGAGTAAACGACACTCATTGCACCAAGTGATATTCATTCACTCATACAAGTTACAATTCTGACACTTGTTCATCACTTTGATTCAAGCTATCTACAATTTTGGGACAGTGGTCTTTCTGCTATTTGTATTTGGCGGGAAAGCCTTTGTTAAATTCTCGCATTGATAAGTCTTGTCTACGTAAAATTTTATTAATGATTTTTCCTCATCGTGCCAATGTTGTAGGGTATCTACGAAAAGTGTATTTAAGCACCGAAGAAACAATGACTTTAAGAAAATTGCCATACTTAGTCCTTTGGCCAGAACAACATGACACAATAAGTTGCTCAAATGTTTCTTCGTTAGAGCCTTATTCAACAGTTCCAAATATATAATAAAGAAATAATAATATTAAATAATAAATTTCAGACATATGTGCACAATTAAAATATCTCATGGTGTAAATTAAAATTTGGTTGGGTTGCTATGAGTAGCTTTTAAGAATTTTACTCGTATTTTCACGTATCAGATTCATCAGTCATCTATAATCTCGTATGAGATGGTCAAGCTGCATGAAGATAGCAATGAAGTCATTTGCAGAAGTCCCAAATAACCATTCGATATATTCAACATGATGCATAGGAAAGACTTGGTGATTGAAGTTGTTTTGAAACTGATATTCACATGACCTTTAACATGATGGCATAAAGTTACACCCCCTCATGAAAAAATTGTTATTTCTTAATTATAGGTACGGTGAGTTGAGAGTGAGTATTTTCTTATCAAACTAAGATCGCTGAAATGATGGTTAGATGCCTGCTTAGTTTGTCGTGTGACTAATATATTCCTTTTGAGCTTGAGATTTATCTTCAAGTTTGCAGCACTGAAAAGCGTAAGTAAACTTATAAACTAAAAACATTTGTCTGTAGCTGCACACTTCAACCAACCATTAGACATCACATGCGTGCTTTTATCGTCTTCATGGTTGAAGCCGGGAAGAAAGACGTAAATCGAAGGTGAAATTTATTTTCAAAATAAATTCAAACATTGAAGGATTAACCATATTATAAGAAGCACACGTGGACCACCTTTCGTTTTTATATATATATATATATATATATATATATATAGAGAGAGAGAGAGAGATGAGGTGAGATGGGGAGAGTGAGAGAGATATAGAGAGAGGAGATCGGGAGAGAGAGAAATAGTGTGAGAGAGAGAGAGTGGGAGATGAGAAGGAAGAGTTTGTATTATATATATAAACAACGGTACCATTTGTAGATAATGTTGGGCTAGTTCGACTTATTGACTTAGTAAGTGTCGTAGCACCTTCATTAATTACTTCTATATTGTATAACGGAAACCGTGCAATGTTGGATCGTTATCAAGTACTCCACTCAATTAGCCTTGTGACACACTAATCTAACCTCAGGATATGTTCACGTTCTCAGATCCAGGAACGGACTGACTGACATACAGACTAAAAGATAAATCCGGAAAATGATGGATTTCAAAAAAGCATAATTGTTACACATTTTCTCTGTTTCGCCTCGCATCGTTTTCTGATTATTTAAATGTTAAACATCGTCATTCAGAAAGTTTAAACAACGTCTTCATAAATGTCAGAACGCAAATACTTGTCTGAAAATGAATCTCATCCAAAAATGCAAGAACGGTCATAAGCAATAAAAAAGATTGCAGTAAAAAAATTGAAAAAAAAAAATGAAAATGAATTCTCCGTAGTTGTCATTTCCGTTCTCTATTTCAAGTACGATTTTTTTTTATTTGGATATAATATTTAATGTTATTTTCTTTTTGCCTACCTCTCTTTCTTTCTTTTTTTTTCTCACTCTTACTCTTTCTTTCTCCATTCCTCTCATCTATTTGTCTTGTCTTTTTCCTTGACTTAACTTTCTCTTTTCGTACATTTTCCCCTTCTACATTTGTTCGCTGCTTTTGTCTTCTTCCTCTCTTTTCGTGATTTCAATTTCTTTCCTGCATTCTTATTTTCTCTGTATTTAGTATTATTCTCGTCTTTCCAAACCTTTCTTCTCTCTTTTTCGCCGCAGATCTTTTCTTTTCTTTCTCGCCCTCCTTTATTTTTGCTTTTTCTTTTTCACTTTCATTTCTCTTTTTTAATTCCATTCAAAATTCCCATCTTGTATTATTTGTCCTTTTACTTCTTGCTTTCACTGTGCATCTCTCTTTCCCATTCTTTCTCTTTTTCTGCCTTTTTATAGTCTTTCATTCATTCTTTCTTTCTTCCATCCTTTCTCTTTTCTTTCTCTGCATCTATTGTGTCATCTTCTTTCTCTTTATTTTTCATCCCTATATTTTAGCCTGTTTCTTCACACACTTCAAGTTGGCTCTGTTACTCTCTTTACCATCTTAATTCTTCCTTTCTCTTTATCTTGTCAACTTTCCATTCACTTTATAGCCTTGATTTTTTCCCTCTGTTTCCTCTCAATTTCTCTCCTCTATTATCTTCTCAATTCACTCATCTCTGTTTACAGTCTTACTTTCCCTCTCTCTCTCTATTCCCTCATTTCAAGCCTCTTAAATCTCTCCTGTTAACGTCTCTTTTTCACTCGCTCTCTTCTCTTCTCTCTCTCTCTCTCTCTCGTTATCCTTAAATTTTGAATGTCTTTATTTATTTTTTTCAATATCCCATACTCTGTTTATCCTTTCAAATCCATCTCCCTTGTTCATCCTCTCAATTATCTACTCAAATATCCATCTCTGTTTATCTTTTTCTCAAAATACTCACTGGTTTCATTTTTCAGCTGTACCTGATCTTTCATTCTTTCTTTCTTTCTTTCTTTCTTTCTTTCTTTCTTTCTTTCTTTCTTTCTTTCTTTCTTTCTTTCTTTCTCCATGTTCTGATTCTACTTTTCACTTTTGAATGCTGTTTTGGTTTCTTTCTACTAGCAGAGAGAAAGCAAAGAAATTAATAGCAAGATGCAGATCAAACCGGAAACCATTAGGCTGCTCCAGAGATCTTAGAGAAAAAATTCTCGACATAAATTAACAATCACAAAGCTAAAACGAAATAAATTTTATGAACACCGACGTCATTTTTTTACGTTTAAAATATAAAATTAAAGCTTAAATTTATTTTAAGGAAAACAAATAAAACATTTATAGAAAAAAGAACTTAATAAATAAAACTGAATGTCACCTTCAAAAATCTTTAGCCAACCAAATAGAAATTAAAAGAAATATTGCAATTTGATCAAATGTGTAATGCAGAAAGCAAGTGAGTTTAACATTAGTGCGTAGGTTTCTTGGGTCAATATTTTCTTCACGTTATCCAACTGTTTTGTCGACAGTTACAAAAGCTTTACGACAAAAATTAGTAGAACATTAAATGAACTAAGAAAGCCGAACTTAAACTAAGGCTGCCACAGTAATCGAATTCGGTTGTTAATTTGAGATGAAGTCGACAGAGACTGGGAAAGGAGAATGTGTTTAATTGTATGGTGCGTGTAAGTGCGCATATATGTATGTATAGGGACGAAGATTACAGTTTAAAACAGATAATAACAGATAATAATAGTAATACAATGATATAATACATAAGATAATAATATGCAGAAATAGACATTCAGATTAATGATTGTGTAAATGCTAGGAAATGTTGAATTTTACTTTTAGCTTCCATACAATATGCTGTCAATGCTCATGAGAGTGCGTGCGGGCACACAGACACACACAAACACACACAGACACACACACACACAGAGACACACACACACACATTGGTATTAAAAATAATAATGAGAATCCGACAGAATAGCATAAGGAATATATATATATATATATATATATATATATATATATATATGTGTGTGTGTGTATTGACGTAATAGGAAAGGCCAGTTAGATTGATGATCCAAAGTTCTTTAGCATTGTTTTATTTTTTAAAACAGTGTTCCATACAAAAGTAAAGCTTAAAATTATACTTTTAATGTGGACCAGTTTCTGTGTCGCGATGGAATCATATTTTTAAGAATTAATTATAGTATATGGGGATATATATATATATATATATATATATGCGTGAGTGTGTTTGCATATAAACACACACACACACACACACACACACACACACACACACATATATATATATATATATATATATATATATATATATATATATATATATATATATATGGGATTACCATTTCTAAGTTTTTATATTTCAAGAGAAGTTTTGGAGTAAAGTAGAAAAAAGTGTTACGCGTTTTGATCTTTAGGACTTCATCGGACTGGATTTGTTAATGTTGATGCGACTACACATCCGAAAAAAAAAAGACGCTGTCAAATTTTAAATTAAGAAAAAAAAATCTTTTTAAATATATATAATCTAGGCAATTTCATTGAGACACTTTTTGTTTTTGATTCCATCATCTTTGTGATTAAATACCCATCATTGTGATAGCAGAAAACCCGTCAAGGATGGTGAACCAGGACGAAAATATATTGTGAATAAACTAGCGATTAAAGCACTTTCTAATCATTTCCTCTTAGTAAATCATTTTCTCTTTTAATCAGAATTGCATTGTTTATGTCAAAATTGTGGTCCGTCTCGTTACGGTGAGCAACTAATGCCTTTAATTTGTTGTTTTTTAAAATGTCTCTTTTGTGTTCATATAAACTTTTTGTGGTGTTTTCAATACATTCTTTCTGGCAATTCCTTCTTCAGGTTTTGGCACATTGTTTTGTTTTGTATTGATTAAGTATTTTATTGTTATTCGATGTAGTTGTGACAAATTTTATGTTGAGTTTAGATTATATAGCCAAAACGCATTGACATTTTTTTTCTAAATTTAAAATTCCCAACGTCTCTCGTTCGTGCGCATGTGTAATCATATAAACGTAAACAGACTTACTCCAATGATGTCCTAGAAGTCCGTTAGAAAACAACACGACCTAAGAGCTTAACCCCGTTTTTCTTCGTAAAGGATGGTTTAATGGCTAGAGATACTTGCTGTGTAATAAGGAATGTGAGTTCGAACCTCGTCGGAAGCTTATTCTTTGTTTACGATCCGCTCTAATGACTAAAAGTCGTATAATTAATCTATCAAAGGATTAGGTGTCGTATAATTAATCTATCAAAGGATTAGGTGTCGTATAATTAAGCTATTGGATATAACAATGAAATTCATCTGAAATAATAAAAACGGGCATAAAATTATTTTTTTAATTTAAAAAATAAACAAATCGTCTTGTTTTATATCACTAGTAAGATCTTGTTTCGCTAATAGTTCGATAGAACGAGTTTAGAAACCTGTCATAATAATCAATATACAGAATCGTAAATGTGACGTGGGATTGAAATTTCTAATTATTCCAGCCACCAAATAGGGTTCAAATAATTTCAAATGTTAGATGCAAAGAGACATTCATTATTTTGCGCATGAAAAAGAACTCATGCAGATTTCAAAGTTTATTATTTTATCAAATGAGATTGTTAACGATTTTCAATCGCTATTCACGGATATTATTATCGATCAAGTAACGAACGATACTAGAGACATTTGTGCAAATGGTAATAAAGTATAATTGATCAAATAATCAATAGAACTGAAAACCAGACATGCATATGGTAGTATATTTTTATTCCAGCCCACGCTGGTTCAAACACACATAAACACACACACAAACACGGAGGCACGCACACGCACACACATATGCATACATACATACATACACACGCACAGACTCACACACACACACACACACATATATATGTATATATATATATATATATAATAAAATTCTTTTTAATTTTGATATACTGACAGACACCAATAATAATACATTCATTAACACCTCATATAAAAACTATGACCTTGAACTCATGCACTCTTAATTATAAGAGTGAATGTCCTAATTACCACAAAATAGCAATTATACAAAATTTAATAAATCGTGCTAATGTTAACCACAAAAAAACATTTTCTATACTGAACTAATAAATAGTAAACAAACTCTTATTAATAATAGCTTTCCTAACTACATTGTTTAACAAATAAGGTGATCTATTACACATTTTAATATAAATCAAATAAAAAAAATACGTCCCCAAATAACCCTTAATATATCAATCTTCTATATTGTAAACAGATGCATTCTAAATGCAAACAAGATGAAAAACTTAAAATACTCATAAATACTAACATGTTTCCTACAGATACCAGTAAAGAATAAAAATAAATATATACTATACTAAATTTAATACAACCAAATTTAGCATCCGTAATATCTCCTCCCCATCAATTGACATATTGCAGAAAACCAACACAATATATCAATTTAAATGTCTCTTGGAAGATTGCGTCTACGACAAAAAAAAGGCTAATGTATATGCTGGTCATTTTACAATAACGCTATCAAGAGGAATCATATAAATGATTTATCCTGCATTGCACAACATCAGCAAAAACATTCCTGTCCATATTCCCAATTTAGAAGTACATTAGTTGACAATACCTGTATAATTCATCAAGCAGAAACTACAAATTCTCGAAGCCATCTTTATTAAAAAATTAAAACCAACATTTAAAATTTTTTAATGAATATAACACAAATGTTCTGAAATGCTTATATCATATAGTTATTTAAAAATATCTACGTTAAGACTAAACAGTTTTTTTAAACAAAGAAAGTATATAAAATACCAAAAAAATTCGATTCTTAACTAAGTTACCCCCACTACAAAAATAAAAAAAAACACCGTTTGGGACTTTGCGCATGACTGGAATTGTTCACAATTCAACCAAAAAGTCAAAATTTACAGAAAATATATTAAAATTGCATTGCATATTGATAGAGAAGAATGATATCCTAGATGACTGACTCATCTGGGATATGACATGCTTTACAGCAGAAGTCGTTGTACGCGTTCCATTTCTTGCTAGATGCTGGTGTTAGCTTAATTTAACAAAGGAAAACACTATTTTATTTTCACTAGTTAGTGTACATTCAGTTATATATATATATATATATATATATATATATATATATATATATATATATATATATATATATAATGCCAACCGTCTCTCGTCCAACTACATTCTTCCTCTTCATTTTAGCCATTGATGCTCTTAATTGAGAGTTTAGTATTCTGTGTCCTTCCATGATTGCTTTTATGTATTGTGGGTATTTCTTTCTTTTTTTGCTGTCATGGAAAACTTCTCCTTTGTAACCATTCCAACGTTGAACTAAATGAAAATTTAATTTTTTGAAAAATTGTTAAACTTCGCTTACTCCGCCTACAAAGGATATAACGAAATTTACAGTAACTACTGAAAATATAAAATCAATTTTCTTCTTTACTTTTTTTAAATTCTAATCTATTTCGAGGAAAAATTGATTTTTGAGAATATTTATCGAATTTTTCTAGGATATGGGCGTCAAAATCTGATCAAATCTTTTAGATACACCAAGATGACATACATTTGTTTTATTTGATATTTACTAAATTTAGTTTAGTTGCAGTTGCAGTCAAGCAAGAAGTAAATGATGGTATGAAGATTTGAAAATTAGCCTACGAAGCATGACTTATACCTGAGCTCGAATTACAACATCAAAGAAATACCAATTGCCGAAGATACCTTTGGGGGTTGATAAGTTTGCTCTAGTAATAAATATAATATACAGTAGTAAGAAATAACTAAAGATTAATGTTGATCAATTTCCAAAACGTTGTCAAAGCAAGCGAATGCGAACGAATGTTTTCTTTACAGAAAAATCAGCTTTACATTCCACATAACAAAAGTAGTAATCTGTATAACAATGAATAGTGATTGGAACTGGACTACCCCGCTAGAACTGGTATTCATGGTGATAATGCTGTCAGAATGAATAATTGGTAAGTAGAAACATTTATGGGTAATATTAGATAATGGCATTCTACAAAGTGCAAAGAAAAAGTTCTTGTAATGTTAGAAAACCTTGATCGGCTGGGAAAATGATATAGTGTATCGGCAATACAATAAACCACAAACATTCACCAAAATTAAAAGATGTGTGTGACAAAGATGACTTTTCTCATTGTGTTTATTTAATCTCTACAGCGAATTAGATCTGCTAGGATTAATTACCGGCGGAATAAACTTCAACAACATGCGCTACGCAGACGACACTGTGATGATTACAAATTCAGAAATTCAGAAGGTAAACTAAATAAACTGTTAGACGCGGAAAATGAGAAAGAAAGGTTTGCTATTAGTTGACAGAAGATTAAATATATGGTTGTTAGAAAAAAGAATAGACTTCGATGTGAATTAAACATCGTGGATCACAAAATAAAACAAGCGTTGGAGAGTTTAGTAACAGGCCAAATATAGTGTGACTAAAATCGAATGCGTAAAAGAATACCAGAATATACATTCCTAAAATATGTCAATTATTAAGAGAATGAAAATAATAACAATTGTAATTAAGAAAACCATTACGGCCTAATATATAAGGCCTATGCTTTTATATAAAAAAAAAAACAAACAATGAAAGCAGGACATGCCAAAATAAAAAAATTAAAAACGAAAAAAAAAAAAACTTGCGTAAGCAAAATCAGCTTCTAGCGACGAATATTCAGAATACCATTGAATGAAGGAAGTCCAAGGAAAACTAGGAGGAAGGAAGGTTTGGTGATTTAAACTCACTGAACACATCGAAGACAAGAGAAACAGGAAAAAACAGGGAGCAACTTACGTGACAATTTCTCGCATAATAATAGAATAACAAGTATTGAAGGAGACATAGGGGCTATGAAGGGAGAAAAACATTAGGAAAGTAGAAAAGATATGGAACTGTGGACAGCTGTGATAGCCCACGTTCTGCATACGCACATACAAACAAACATATAAGTATGTATATTATAATAACGAATATCTTATTTCTCCCCAAAACGGTCCACGGGTGTAATTCTGGAAGATAATTTTTTAAAATTCAGCGATCTTTGTAATAGTAATTGATATTATGAGATAATAAATATTTCATTTATCATATGAATGCCTCTATCTGAAAGCTATTTTTCGGAACACCCTACACCATTATAGCATAACTACTAGCCCTTATCGTGCCTTGTTGACAACTGGGGTCTATGGCGTTATGGATTTGCACCACTGCTGAACCGTCAAATTGAACCAATTAGAACTGTTATTTATCGAACCGCAACACGGATTTGTTTTCAGTTACTATCGTTAGTTCGTTACAACAAAATTTCTAACCAGGTGCATTTCATCAAGATTTTTTGGGATGCCGAGACAGCCATTGCATTGGCCACAATAGGCAGAAATGCTTTCCATCGAGTATTTCCGCTATGAGAGATACCAAACAACTCCACAATTTCAGAAATGGAATGTTTCACCCAACTGTCATCATCTCGAATTCCAATATTTCACATCATTTTATCATGAGCAGCCAAACCGTTGTTCAAACTGACTCACTAGTTGTCAGAGCAAAAGTGACATAGATCTGAATAATACTACTATGATGTCAAAGTAAGGTGACCTTACCTACCATAGCTTTTTCCCATTGGCTTTTGGCACGTCAGTTTAATGACTGGCAAAGGCTATTCTGGCATTTTAGTAGATTTATCAATTATTGTTAATTATTTTATGCGTTCACATGTTGGTGGTATTAGTGAATTTTAATACGATAATTTTTTTTTAAGATTCTGACGCGTGTTGAAATCAGTATTTAGTATTGTTGAAGTTATCGCTAACATTTTTTACAAATTAAAATTATTAACACATTGCGAATTCTTAAAAGGTTTGCTAGATTTTGTGTAAAAATATATTCTGATTTTTATGAAAGATTTTAAAGTTATTTTTAATAAATTTTCTTTTTTTCATTTTTTCCATATTAATTATTATTTTTTTATTTTCGGAAAGTGTTTTTTTTTTTAATTTTTGATTTAAAAACATGAAAGGCCAGTAATTATAATACTATAATAATTATACGAACAGTACAATCGTATTTATTAACAAAGCACTGTTTTATTATCAAAACATAATTAAAATAAGTTAACATTTTATGCTTCCACATTTTGCCTTCGAAACTGGAAACGATCTGTCACTGAATTTGTCAAGATAGAGATCTTCGATGTCGGAATGCCATTGTGATAGCCTGTTTTTGTTCCTATTAATGTTGTTATAGTACACATCTCTTGCTATAATTCCTTCAAACATGTTCTATAGGATTGAGGCCTGGGATCAAGGTGGTAACCACAATGAAAATGAAAGATGTGGTACAAAGAAAATAGTTGCCTTAGTAGTAGAGCAATTTCCATTGTCTTACTGAAATTTCTCCTATAATTATTAGTAGCTTTGGGATCAAGTTGTGTCCTAACATTTCCTTGTTTTTTCAGTTCTCGCGTAGTTCCATTAGCAATAGCTAAAAAGCGTTGCCTACAGTCAATAATAGAAATAGTAAAGTTTTTCACACAAGAAACTTTTGGCTTCCATTGACCTAAATGTTAATGTCGGTTGAAATTCATAAAGTATTATTAAAACAATTTTTCTGTAAATTAGAATTCTCAAGTTCGCTTAATATTATAACTTTCAATTATTGCGGTTCCATCCATATTCGAAAGTGAAAGCCATTCCATTCTTCAAACCTTTCAGTCTTTACACTCGTAGATTGTTAAAAATGTTTTAGAGAATTATGGCGCATTTCTTCTGTTCAGGTCATATTTTTGAAATAAAGTTAATCATTGTGGATCTTCTGTTCCCACTGACATTTCATACATTTCGATACTTGCTGAATATGTCATATTTTTTGTGCAATTCTTCCAAGAATTTTATGACAGATTTTGTACAGGATCTCTTAAAATTTGGCTGCCTAATCAGCTTATAAATATTTTGTCTGCTCGTTTCCATGTTAGCCATAAGCAGCAGGATTTCGAAAACAGATGAAAAGATAAGCAGTGATTTTCGCACATTTTGCAGAAGTTTTGCAAGTATCCGGAGCATACTAGTATCGATATCTCGTTTTTCTCTGATTACGAATGTTTGCTTTTCTAAAACAAACAGCGTACCACCTTGGATTTTCAGAAGGTATTTTCCGATATGTTTCAGCGTTAACCTGAATTCAGGTGTGTTTTAATTGCTGGACAATGTGAAATGAACCTGAGTTATAAAAATGAACTGGTTTGATTATTATTCAGGGAATATAACACTTTATATGCGTATGTACAGTTCATTTACAATTAGACTATATATTTCCGACACGAAATACCGAATACAATGAGAAATGAGCCAATTTGCAGTGTTTTGATGATATCTGGAGGAAGGCATGCACACGCGCGAGAAAACACACTTGTACACAATCATGCATCTGCGCGAGCGCGCACACACACACATACACACAAACACAGACACACACACATATATATATAAATGCTCCCTAAAAAATTATTTCGGTGGAGCTTTCGGGGAGAAAAGCTAATTTCTAAACAGTAACTATTACTGCTGCTAATGCAAGACGCTTCGTTAAGTCGAATCGAGTTCTCCAGTTGCTAGCGTGTTTATCTAAAATAAATACGTCTAAATTCACCTTCATCCCTGCCAAAATGGCTTAGGGGTAGAGTCTTCGACTGATAATAAATCAGTCGCGTCTGGATTCCGGCTTGAGGCAATCGGGTGTATTGTCACAGTGGTGAGCTACTAAAAAACCTGGAAGAAAATATGAAGAATATAATATATTTCCATTAACCTAACAGAGTTTTGATCACATTAAGCGTCACGTCACATTTATTTTTAGTGGATACTTTATTAGTCGGGCTGTTTGTGATAAAACTAATGATTATGAAAATCCATTTATTTTATTAAGTGCTATTATTTTGTGATATACGTATTATTGGTAACAAAAAGATGAAAAGTACTTAATTTTTTAATATAAAAATATAGATGTTTCTTCTTATCAGTAGGTGATATATATATCCCATATTGTTTATAACTTTTAGTCTTGTAGACATTAGACATTTCATTAGAATAAAATAATTCTTTTTGTTGTGAGTTTAATTTGTATTATAAGGGTTTAATAATTTGCAGGTTCATTTTAATTCGTTAGTTAATTATATAATCTAGAAATGTACTGTTAGAATTTGTTTCATATATATATATATATATATATATATATATATATATATATATATATATATATATATATATCGTGGTGAAAGTTAAGTATTCTAATTGAGGCGCCATTTTCTGTAATGTTTTATTCAAATTATGTTATAAATATTCAGGAAAATAAACCTTCTATCTATCTATCTATCTATCTATCTATCTATCTATCTATCTATCTATCTATCTGCCATAGTCTGAATATATCTACATATCTGTGTCTCTTTCCCATCACTTATATTATGTTATATGTAAGCTAATTTCTTGAAGTATGTATGTGAGTAGATGATTTTTTATACACAGAAATACACATTCATAAAGATATATGCATCTATACACTGATATGCGTAGTTATAGAAATATGGAAAAAGAAAGTCTAATAAGACAAACACATAGTGACAAATGACTATATATACGTATAGACGCATTTTACTTCGGCACTGAAACAAAATGGCTTATACAGTAATGCATTCAAAAACACATGAAAATTCTTCAAGCCCCTTGACAATTCATAAAAAGATTTTTTTAAATATCAGTTTGAAAATCAAATAAACCGAAGAATACCTGAATAATACACACACTCACACAAATATATCTATAGGCGTATATGTTTGTTTGTGTGTATGTGCGGCTGCGTAAATGTGTGTGCGTGTGTACATGTGTATGTGTAAGTAAAGTGTCAAGGACAAATTTTCTAAAGATAAAATAAAAAAGATAATGCGGAAAATAATTTGAGAAAAATGCATGCGAAAATTTGAATGTTTAGGGAAAACTTTCCAATTAACTCTTTTCTAAGTACCCAGTAAAATAAAACTGCTAATATCACCGAGGCTGATTTAATAAATGCGAACGAAAAACGTGGGAACTTGAAGAATGGAAAAAAAAAAAAGATAAGATTATACCTGCAGGATATTTCTTTGGCAACTCAACATAATTATACGAAGAGAAATTAAAAAAAATAATTGAAGAACTAAGAAAGAACCAACTAATAAATATATATTTTATTTTTCCATGAATTTTTTACAAATTTTTTAAAGAAAAATTCACAAAATGAATAATATCAAATATAAAATTGGGGAATGATGGCTTAGACGACTCTCTGATAATTTGGTTCAGAAGAATTAGGTGATTCTATTTTGCCTTTTAGCTTCTGCTCCATCTTGATGCTTCCTATTATTATTATTATTATTATTATTATTATTATTATTATTATTATTATTATTATTATTTCGTTTTTTTTTAATCTTCATATTTGTTTTCTTTTTCGTAAATTTAATATATGAATTTTCACCGAACTATTTTCTGTTAACTTCTTACCGGAAAGTAAGGGACATCAAGTTCCTTCAATATCTCAACAATTTCCTTAGGATTTTAGCCAATTTTAATATTGTTTTCTGGATATATAACTCAAAGATTGTGGAAAGACCGGTGTTCTTTCTTTTGTCAATGATCTTCTAGTATAAAAGATAGAAGATATCTTGAAATTATAAAAATTGCGTCGTTACAGTTGAGAGATTTCGCTTTATTTCGACCTACAATGCAAAATGAAGTGAAAAAAAATTTAAAAAAAGCATTTTCTTAGGTTTCTCCCTCATAAAAAATAAGGAAAATCTTCTCTGTATTCCGTCTGACCATTTTTGATTGCATGAAGATAGAAAGAAAAATTACCAAAACTGGAGTAATAATGTCTCGATATTTACTGGTAGCTTTATTTCTGTGGTCCATCGCCAAAACTATGTAATCATAACTGTTACCAAAGTCACGTAACTATGTCATGTGTTGCTCTCATTACGAGTGCCATTAACGCCTCATTTAAAAGCACAATTCATAACTTTTATATTTCTAAATCTATTATAAAATTATAAAATTCATCCGCGTATTCACAACTCGATCAAACTTTGTGACCATTTTTAGTTCTCTAATTTAGGGTATTTAAGATGAGCAAAATAAATTTCTCCTGTTCAGTAGCACATATTTGCTTGGCATTTGCCTGAGAGACGCACTGTGCATCGCCCTCTTCATAAATGGGAGTAGTTAATGATCATTATGGGTAGGTGTCGAGAGTGTTGTTCAATAATATTGATCAGAACAATATTGCGTAATGTTTTCAATAAGTAGCATCGGAACACATGATTTCATTTCAGTCGTGACTGAAATTTATTGCATATATATATATATATATATATATATATATATATATATATATATATATATATATATACTATTTAGTAGAGCCCGGCGTTGCCTGGGATGTAACAGTAAGAGATAGATCAAGTATCGACCATCATAAAGACTGAAAAAATAAAATTGACAAAGATTATTGTTTAAGGTTGACGGACACGCATGTCTTATTTAGTTTTTTTTTTTTTTTTTTTTACGAATTGGTCAAACCCAAATTCAAACAAAAACATTGTTTCCAATCGTTATGAGTCTATCGATTGGTGAATAGAATTTTATTATAAACAATTGTCTAGTAAATGGAATTTTAAAGCATTCTGAATGTAAATAAAGAAAAAAGTGTGCAAGACAATAAGAGATACTACCTGTCGAAAATAAAAAGTGGATGTTTGTTTTATCGGCTGAAAAATGTAAAAAATCCGATCCCATATATAAAGGAGCACACACACACACACACACACACACACACACACACACACACACACACACACACACACACACACACAAACATAAACAACCTGGGTCTTTTAACCTAAGTCACTCCACGGAATCGCTAAAACATAGAGCATAGTCTGATGAAAAAGACGCCAAAGTTTATGAAAACAAAATTTTATCGTCAAAATGCTTATGTTTTTATGAAGAGGATAGACTAAAAATTTTTTTAATTATTTTAAAAAATTTTTCCATCTTTTTAGAATATTCTAAAATTTGATTTAAAAAACCTTGTTTCTCTTTGTCGCAACAAGGGGTAGTAAATAACATAGATAATTTTTAGCGCGTTTTTTTGTATTTACACACATTAATTTAGAAAATCTCGCAAAAATAAAAATAATTGTCAGATGTTAATGAAACTTTCAGAAACTATTCACAGATGATCGAAATTATTATAAATATGTTTTTTTTATTAAAGTCATGGCAGAAATATTTTTTTTTATATTTATTAACACCCCATAACTAATTTTATGAAAAACTCTAGAAATTCGAGACCATCGGTTTTAGTGATTACAATAGTTAAAAGCACAAGGCATTGAAGAATGCAAATCATGTTTTTTTTTTTTTGTTATTTTTGGACAACGTACCTGAAAATCAGCTGTGAATTGTAACATACAAAACTCAATAAAACAAATATATTATTTAGTTTCAAATTCTTTTATTTGTTTTTATGAATATGGACAATATTTTCTGAAAGCAAAACATTTTTTCAATGAAAATTGAATTTTTAATACAATTATTTCTTATTTCTTTAATTTTAAAAAATGTTTTAATTGAATTTAAAAAAATATTTTAACATTAGTTAAAAGCAATATCAACCTTTCAAAATGTCCGTGTGAGATTGTCATTGTCTAGCGCTTTGAAAATTGTATAATTTGGACCAATCAGAATAGCCATGGTAATTAAGAAATGTAATTTTTGTGTTTATAGTCGGACAGTAATTATCAAGTACGGAAGACCAACCAGAATACAATTTAGTTGCATTATTTGAGTTCAGAATTGTTCTCCGCTGTTAAGCCCTTTACTTTTGCGAAACACGCATGGAGAAGTTAATTTGAGTTTTCAATTTCAACTGAGAAGGGTACCTACAAGTAACAGTATCATCTTATGAAATTTAACTAATGCTAAACTTTAATTTATATGATCTTATTTTTATATTAATCTCAGTTATGACATTTTTCCATAAATGAAATATCAAAATTAATAATAAAATGAATGGAAATACAAATAACACAGTAAATGTAATAAATGTACATAAAATTATAGTATTTTATGTACACTTCTGATAAAATTTCATAAGAAAGGTACCTAAATTAATTAGATACCTTTTTTCTTATGAAATTTAATCTCACTATTAACAGTCTTATTTTTTTAATTTCTTTATATTTTCCATAAAGCATCGTAAACGTAAAAATGAAAGCTAAGTACAAAAAAAAAAATTTAAAAAAAATAAAAAATAAAAAATTAGAGCGCTGAGAGTTTTCCTTAAAAGTAGCAAGGTAAATAATTTGTTCACTTAAATAATTTCACTTCCTTCCATCCGTAGAAAGAATTCTCCTCCAGTAAGTTATCTAAACGTCATGAATGTGCCTTTCGTCAATCGTCAAGCGACGCGAAAGGTTATGGCCTGCTTTGTTTTATTTTCAAATTACATTTTTTCGGCGCAGAAGCTAAGTTAAGCTTGGTTCAAAATATTTTAAATAAACAGTATAATTTCTGTTTTTTATTAAAATCAGTTTTGAAAAAATGTTAATTGATTTTAAAATAATATCAAAGTAAGATTTTAATCTTTTTATCAAATCGAAAAAATGATTGAAAATGATTATCTCTTTTTTTACCAAAAAAAAAAAAACAAAAAAAAAACAATATTTTTAACGAAAATTTCAGACGTGATAGGAACGATTAAAAAATGTAAAAAAATACCCCCAAAATACTTTGATCTTTCCTCTTTAATAATAATATGAACATTAGACGATAAAATTTTGTTTTCGTCAAGTTCGGCGTCTTTTTCATCATGCTATGCTCTTTTGTTTACATTTTCGTGGGTGAGTTGTCCCCCTTTCATTCCCACGATGTGTTTTCAAAATGATTTTATTAAAAAAAACAAGTGTGTTTTTCCCATTTTCGGTCCCGTTAGAACCACCACAAGGTAATTTTATGTAGTCCTGTTAAGTTTTGTTGAAATCGGCTAAAAAATGTAGGAAATTCGATCCAACATATAAACGTTACAGACACACACAATCTGCGTTTTATAATAAGTAAGATATATGTATGTATGTATGTATGTATGTATGTATGTATGTATTTCTATACAATTCGCGTAGGAATTTTTAAAATGGTTTTATGTTAAAACTGAAACTGCATAAAAATTATAGGTGCCATTCATGGAGATGGTTTTCTTAAACTGGTTTTCAACCATGGCTTGAGAGGTTGGAAGCAGACTTTATTTCTTTATTGATTGGCATTTACTCCATATATGACGGGAGAAGAGATGAATTTGCACCTTTCCCAAGGATTTGCGAAAGTGAACAAAACCTATTCGAACGCAGCTCGTTGATAGCTATTCTAAGCTAGCTGTTAAACTATTACA